ACAGCTGATACATCCCTGTCTCCCCTTGACCTTCCGGCGGAGCTGGGTGCTGGGCCACCTCCCGCGTGTGGGCGGGGAAGGCCGGTCGCCCGACAGGAGGCACCATTTCCGCGCCCAGGGGAGGGGGTCTGGGGTCCGAGCCCCATTAGCGGAGTGGGGGCGTGGCTCATGTCCTGTTGGGTGTCTTGGGCCCCGAGGGAATGGAGGGGGGAGGACTGTTCTGCACCTCCCTTGGCTCTCCAGCTTCTCCCCTCACTTTTCCCTCCCTCCTTCCACCCCCTTTCCTGCCCTCCCATAACTGTGACTCAGGCCTGACCTTTCCCTGGGGTTTCAGAAGGCCCCCCCAACTCACCCCACTCAGTACCCACAGGCGAGGGTCCCCTGGTGCAGAAAGGGGATGGCCGCGTGGGAGGCCTAGACAAGTGCAGGCTGGTGCTGAGCTCTGTGTCAAGTGGGATGTGCAGGTCCCAGGGTCCCTTCCTCACTCAGGGACTCGGGGATTCTGAGCCTGGAGCCCTCAGCACAGCCCACACTCACACGCCCGCCCCAGCCACCCTCTTGTCCTGGTCCTTGGCCCTCCTCACTCTGGTCCTGTCTCCCTTGGGCACGTAGGCTGCTGACACTGCAGGTGACAGGCTGGTATTTAGAAGTGACAGTGGAGAGAGGCCTCTCTGCCTGGGTGGGCCAGCTGTGGATGCTTCCCTCTCCGAGGCCTCAGGGACAGAGGAGAGCGCTTCGTCCGCACTCCACTGGACCCCGTCCCCAGACCATTGAGCCCACGCCTCCCAGATGGCTGCAGGGCAGAGCTGGGGCTGCCTGGGACCCTGGCCTCCGTGTCTGTGCTGCCTTTGTGATGTGGGGGCTCTCGGCCTGGGTCCCGGATGCTGCAGGGGCAGGGCCTGGGCCTCCGGAGCTTGGAGTCCCTCCTGCTGGGTGAGGGAAGAGATGGCGCATGTCCTTGACCAGAGTGGGCAGCAGGAACGGAGGGCTAAGATGGGATCGATGGGGTGGCCGGGGCAGCCTCCTGACATGTTCACCTTGAACCTCCTCCATCGGGAAGCAGGTCCAGGGAACTTCAGGAAGAGCTGGCCCAGCCCTAACGTGCGCTGTGGCCGGGCAGTCCTTTCCTCTCTGAGCTGTGGGCCCCCATGTACCCTGACTCCCTTTTCTCCTCTGGGGAGACCTGGAACCCAACTTGAGCTCATGGGTGGTGTGTTGTGAATCCCTGTGCTCTGCCCTCCCCCCTCCCAGCCCGCCCCCAAGTCTCACCCATAATTCTGCCTGTTGAGACTGATGGTTGGTCAGGAAAGGCTTCGCAGAGGGCTTGGAGGGGAGCTGGAGGCTGTCTCTAGAGAAAGTCTGTGCAAAGGCCTAAAGGCATGGGGATTGCTCAGGTGTCTGGGAGAGCTGGCTGAGGGGTGTTTGTCAAGAGATGAGAGAACACGGGTGGGCAGCAGAGGCGTGGGCGGGGCATGAAGGTCAGCTCAGGTAGGCGTGGGCTTTCAGACCTGCCACGCTGCAGCCAAACTGCCCCGCCCCAGGTGTCCCACCCCCAGTGTGCTTCACGAACCAGTCACTGGAGGCCCCAACCCCAGAAGGAGGGTCAGAGGGAGCTAGTAGAAAACCATGGGTTCCGGGCGCTGAAACAGCTGGGCTGAAGGCTGGGTCTGGCTGTCTGCTGGGAAGGCTAAGTTAGGTGCTGTCACAGCTGGGGTGGGGCTGGATGTCCTGGTACCCAGGGAAGCCACTGCCCAAGGTCACACAGCCTTTGATGCTGGGCAGCCACAGGGGCACCTCCTGACTGCCCTTCCCTTCTGTCTGTCCTCCATGCCGGTGCTGGCAGCTCTGTCCCAGGACCCAGCAGAAGCCCCTGCCGCAGGAGGGGAGTTAGGTAGGCCGGCTTTAGGCTTTCTGGAAGAGGCCTTCTGGCCAGGTTTGAAGAATGGGCGGTTTTATGGGAGGAGATGGAGGAAAGGGTATTGTCCGCAGCAGCAGCCGGGGGAGCGAGGTCCAGGAGACTGATCGGCTCACAGAACTTGTGTTGGGACAGGAGGCTCATTTGGAGGGTTTTGGAGAGTGGACTCCAGGAAGGGGGCAGGGAGGGCTTGGAAAACAAGCTGGCCCTGGTCATACGTGGCCCCATTCCAGTGTCCTGACCTGCTCTGTGAGGTGGCCATGTTGGGGCCACGGGTCGTGCCTGGCAGTGGAAACTAGAGGTGTAAGGTCAATCACAGAGAGAAGGGAGGCCCAGAGAGGCTGAAAGAGCTGCCCAGAGCCGCACGGTGAGCAGTGGTGGTGGGAGCTGGCTTTTGATAGGCAGGGCCTGGCCGATGGGGTAGCTGGAGGCTGGGAGGCCTGTGCTCCCCGCGAGCTTCTCCCCATCCTCTCCTCACAGGACACTGACGGAACTTCTGAAGCAGCCAGGCCCCCAGGAGCCACTGCCCCCGCCTCTGGGCCCGCCTCTGGGCAGCTGTGTCCAGGTGCAGATGGGTGATGGCCTCCCCCGAGGCTCCCCCCACAACAGCACAGGTGAGTCGGCTGGTGGGCGGGCATGTGATGACGTACAGCGCAGGCCTCCCCTGTCTGACATGGGCCTGGGAGCCAGGGAAGGGTGTGCCCGGAGGAAGAGGCTCCGAGCAGACGGCTTCCAAATGAAAATGAGCTGCGGCCTCTGCAGGTGTGTGAGTGGGGGCTGGGCAAACTGGTCAGCTCTCCTTGGTGGCGATAACCCCCTTCCCCACCCCCACTCCCAGGGGTCCTGCAACCTCCAGCCTCAAGGACTCTGTGAGGAAGGTTCCCGATTGATTCAGGGATCCCTGGCTCCGCTGTGGTTCCAGGCTCAGCACCCTGGGGTCTGCTTGGCCAGGGTCCTCCTGCAGGCCTTTCCCTCCAGGCTGAAGCTTCCCTCTTGGCCTCTGATTGTAGAGTCGGGCTTGACTGCACCCCTTGTCCCCCCCTGCCCCCTGCTCTGTGGGTTCTAATCCTGACACCCCCTCCATCGCCATCAGCCACCAGGAGCAGGTCCAGCGTGGGGGGGAGGGGCTCTGCCTGGCTCAAGCTGAACATGCTGGCGAGTCGCCCATTAGCTCAGCACCCACTCAGGACTGGCTGCTATGCATGTTACTATAAGCCAGACCCTGTTACCGGCGCTGGAGATTCTGCCACGAAGACAGTTCCACTTGGTCTCGCCCAAATGGCCACCCAACTGAACTGCTGCTGGGAGAGGCTGTGGGAGAGGGGAGTGTGTCCCAGGTCAGCGGGCTGAGTCTCATCTGCCCCCTTCCCGCTCTAGACAAGAAACGCCACACCCACGTGCCCCTGGGGTCGGCGACCCCGGGACCCCCGCGCGGCCCCGGGCTGCAGGGAGCCGAGCCTGACGCTGCAGCGGACTACGCCAAGACGCCACCCTCAAGGCTGC